ATAATAGGAAATTAAATACTTATTAATACTTATAATTTGACATTTTTTCTAAATATTCTTCAAATTATACTTTAAATTGAACATGGGCCATATATTAAATTCTAAAATAATTGAAAACAGTAAATTATTGGGGGCTTATTACCTTTTTTGTTTAATTTGTGACAACCAGACGTCACAAAACAGATTTTCATGACATTTACAGTTTTAAAAGCCTGATTGTGACGACACAAGCAACATTTTCGTAACTTGTTTATAATTTTGTTCAGGAAATATGGTCAGAACAGATGCAATACAGACATACTATTAACAATTGAATTGTTAAATGGGTTTAAACTTACCTAAAAAAAAGCCTTTTTTGAATTTAGCCATTAATAAGCCTTAAAACAGACTAACTAGACAGACTTTCTCCCAAAGGTTATCAGTTAGTTCTGGCTTCAAATATAGATTTTCACAAAGGGCCCAATATAAAAGTCCACTGCACACGTGGTTATGTGTCATAGTAAACCAACTTTTAACTTTACTTGCAGCCTTTGAAAAAGCTATTCCCCACAAGACGTAGTGAGGTAGCTCCTCCTTAACATGCAAATAGCATCTCTACCTAATAATAGAACTTAAGAAAGAGTGTTTTTTCCACCCAAGAGGGGCAATTTAGTGTAATTTTGGCCAAAACCAGGAGGGCACTTTAGCACGCGTTTTTTGCTCCCAATAGGAACCCTTTTAGCAGCGCGTTTTTGGCTCCAAGAGGGCCAACTTTAGCAAATGCGTTTTGGCTCCCAAGAGGGCATTTGAGGGCAGATTTAGCACATGTTTTTGGCTCCCAAGAGGGCACTTTTAATACACTGTTGGCTCCCGAGGGCCACTTTTAGAATATTTTTCAAACCAATTGGGCCACGAGGGGGTGCCTGCCCCCCTGTGCACGCCACTGCTTTGTTGCATCTGGGGTGTCATCGACTTTGGGCTGTGGCACCTTCCGATGGAGATTTCTTTCTTATTCGATAAGAAAGAGATGTTCGGAAGGTCCCTTAGAATATTGGAAGACATATGCTGCATTTGCAGAAGCCAAGGCCCTGCAAGCAGCATTTTTAGGAAAAAGGCACTAACTTTGGCTGTGGATATAGCACCAAAGGTGTTCCACAAACAAGTCTTAAGTTTCTCTTTCCACTCAATTCCTTTTTGTTTGTTTTTTGTTGGTTTGTGCTTGGGTTGTGTTTTATCATTTGAAATTTGCAACATTTTCAGTTATGTTTTGTTTTTTCTTTATTTATATATTGTATGTAAAGTTTGCATTAGATAGTTATTTATCTATTTTATAATGTTAATTGTTTAATAAAAGATTTATTAACTGAATCCGTAGTCCTGACTTCATTCATCATGATTATGTCCTTCTTGCCTAGGGCCCCCAGGGGGTCTAAAAGCCCCTGCCAATTGGTCAAGCAGACCAGGAAGAAGATTAATAAAGACATTTCACTGACGGTAAACATGAAACATTTGACATGGCTGCAAGTGTGGCCAAACATTCAGTCTTTTTCAACCCATTAATTTAGTCAAAAGTCAGCTTTATTTGTCAAGGAGGACGTTTCTCCCACTCTCCGTATTTACAGCCAGAGACTCATGCAGACACTGGGATGTGGTTTAAGATTATTTGATGATAGAATATCACATTAAATTTGATTTGACTTTAGAGAGTAAGATGCACATAATGACAATATGGTTTGTTCCCTTCATCCCGAATACTTTGTGTCCTACAAGGAGAGAGACTCTTTCTCCAGGGCCGTCGAGTTCTGCTCCCAACAAGGTTTAGATCTGGCTTTGCCCCAGAACGAGGAGGAGAACACTGCACTGACGCAGGTGTTTGGTGAAGTTGACAAGACAGCCTGGATCAATGTCAACAATAAAAAAAATAAAAGGGAACTTTGAGGCAGATATGAAAAACCGACCTCTGACCTTCACCAAATGGGGAGAAGGGCAGCCAGACAAATCCATTGAGGATACAGGCTGTACCATGCTGTCAGAAAATGGCGTCTGGCGAGTGACACACGAGTGCTCCTTAAATGCTTACATTATTTGTCAGTTATAGAAAGGTCTTATATCACTTGCATGTCTCGATCTTTCATTGTCCTATTTACTTTTTCTTGGAGACAATATTGTGTAACTGTCTTGAATGCAGGACAGGTAAACTGCAGAAAAAAAGTCAGTAACTAAATAAACAATAAATGTATAGAGAAACAAGAAGGTACATTGTTAAAGCATAAAACTGCAAAATAAAATGACCAGCAGCAAGTACTTTCATTTATTCATTTATTTTAGTGTTAGTATGAACTGGCAGTTTAGTTGGATGGATTTAGTTGGCTTGGAATCTTTGGGGATCTCATCATTTGATTCAGAATCAATTTCCAATTCAAAATTGCTTGATTTAATGAATACTAAAACCATGGTGTCACCCATGTTTCCCACTGTAGCTAACTTGCACATGGAACATTTTGCGCAGATTACCCTGATGTGGAGGTGGGTGTGGTTTACAATCAGCTGCAGGAGAGAGAGAGAGGTGTGGGGAAGGCTTATGAGAGCAGCGCCAGGTGAGTTGTGTATCTCAGCTGGTACTCATTGAGTAATCACACTCACCTCTTTTAAGGCAGTAGTGTGCTGAACCACACACAACTGAAAGGACAACTGGAGCAAACTGTCATGGACTTTGGAAGCAGGCGAAGTGTTGTGTGAATAGTGCGTGAGGCTGAGAAATAAATAAAGTGGTCTGAATTATTAACCTGTAACCTGAGATAACCCACGGTAGTAGTGAGACTTGCTAAACCTGATAACGGCCTCTATCCCACCTGACATCACTTTAACTAAACGACCCTGTAGGAATCTTTTGGAATATCCTGATTCAATTATGTTTGTAGTAATTATTTCCATACATAATTCTCAGTTCAACTTAAAATAGGGGGCACTACATTCAGGGTCTTACTCCAGTTCACTGAGGGACTCATGTCCACTGTATTGCAATTTGAAACATTTTGTAACACACACACAACCAGATAATCAGTATTATTCACATCACCTGTCAGTACTGATAATGTAATGGCTAATCGTGCATGGGTGAGATTTTGTGGTACTTGTTAACACTTAAAACTGGGCTAGTTAGATTTTATATTTACTTTGGTTCCTGTGTATTATGGTTGTATTTTTGATTTGGTTAGTGTTATTAGTGTTGATTTTA